AAAAAAGCACAAAGTAATCCAGAAAAAAACAAAAACATAAAATCCCTTCTGATTTGGGACTCTCCTTTCAAAGGCGCTATGTCTAAGACCAGAAAGAGAGGAAGTAACATCTCTACCAGGCTTAGCAAATACCCCCGTTTGTTACCTTGCCTGGGTTTCCAAGAAGAACCAACAGAGTTTCAGCTCATGTAATTGAAGGGAATACTTATTCTATGTTTCTTATTCATTTACACTTCAGTCATCAAAATATTGATTTTTAAGAGTTATTTGAAGTGTAAAAACCAAACAGAAATTTATAGAGTATTCTTTTTTTTTCTTTTTTTTTTTTTTGCAGGTTTTTTTTTTTTGGCCAGGGCTGGGTTTGAACCTACCACCTCCAGGATATGGGGCTGGCACTCTACTCCTTTGAGCCACAGGCATCACCTTACAGAATATTCTTAATAAAGCTTAGATGAGGTCTGCTCCCCCACCCACCAGCTTTGCCTGAAGTGCCAGAGAAGGATTTGGGTCAGAGTGAAAAGACAAACAAGTTAAGATTATCAAACCATTGAGTTCCAGGTCGGGTGTGGTGGCCGTAATCCCAGCACTCTGGGAGGCTGAGGTGGGAGGATAGCTTGTACTCAGGAGTTCGAGACCAGCATGAGCAAGAGTGAGACCCCATTTCTACCAAAAATAGAAAAACTAGCCAGTAGTGGGGCATTGTGGGGAATGCCAGTAGTCTAAGCTACTCAGGAGACTGAGGCAGGGGATCACCTGAGCCCAGGAGTTTGAGGTTGCTGTGAACTAGCCTGAGGCCACAGTATACTAGTGTGAGACTCTGTCTCAAAAAAAAAAAAAAGAAAAAGAAAGAAAGACTATTGCTTGTTGCTCTCTGGGTCCTGCTGCTTCTCTTTTCCTCCTATTTCCTAAGCTTTTTGCTCCAAGGTAAAGCTCCAGTTCTGTATTTCCTTGAGACAGGTCTAGATTGTAAAGGCGTCTGAAATTGCCCTCTCTGCTCGTGCATTGGGCCTAGTGAAGACATTGTAACTGTAAACCCTACTGCTAAATCCATGGCAACTCATCTTCACTTTTCAGGAAATGCAGGTGTTGGCATTCAAGTCCATATTTCACTAATCACAGCTGCTTCTTCAAGCAGAAGTCCAGGGACTTTTAAACTTCAAAAGGGCCAGACTGCAATATTTTTTAAATGTTTGAAAACTACCAGTTTAGTCCCATTCTCTCATTTTATCATGACTGAACTCTAGGGATGCCAGTTAATGGAAGGCTGAAACTAGAAACCCAGTTTCTAAAGTGCTCCTTCCTGCATGAATGTTCTCAAGCTGTTTGAGGTTGGTCAATGTCTGGATTATAGAAAGATCTTCCTAAGAAGCTAAACTTGCCTAAGTCTTAAGGTACATTTGCAATGAACATGCCAGAGTCTGTCCCAAGAGGATGGGTTGAAGAGCAGCGATTGGTAAGGAGAGTTCCACCCAGACCAGTCTCCCAGGAAACAGGTAAGGAGGCAGAGGGGCAGCTCCACAGGAGCTCAGCTTATGTCTGTCCACTCTTTTCTTTCTGGGAAATCACCTTTCAGGGGCCCCTGCAAGGCTACCCCTGAATTTAATCAGCTGTCACTTGAAAAAAAAAAGTGAGGGGCAGACAGAAGGTCCTTATATAATAAGTAATCATTTCAAGCTTTGGAAACTTCTCCAAAATGGCCCTGGATATGGAACCTGCATCCCAAACCTCTAATGAAGAGACCTGTATGGTCAGCAGGCTTGCTGCCATCTTGAGCCTGGGTATTTCCCCTGTCCACCATGACAGCAGGAGGTGGATCACTGCTTTGGTCTGAAATTTCCCCTGTGGAATGAAACAAGAATTTCTCAAGGTTATGCCCTGACACCTAGATGAATTACCAAATGGGGTGATACAACTTAGTTAGGGAAACCTCACTTCTATGGTTTGAGACACCAAAGTGATGAATCTCATTTATGGATTGGTTGCTTATTAATACAGTGTGGTTGAGAAAGGGCATAATGGCAGGAAACATGAGATTAACAACTGTCCTGGCTAGATTCCATACTAGCCAGATGATGTCGGGGTGATTTGGGGAACCTCCATTTCACTGATCACGTTAGTCCATCAGGAGAACTCAGGGACAGAGGCCATAGTGCCCCCAGCCAGGACTCCTGGCCTGACTTCAGATGGCCTTCCCGCTGTCTCTCAGTTGCCACTACCCGGGAAGTTAAAAGAGGGGTAAGGTCTCTCCCTGGAAGCTGCTCTTTACCCTCCCCCATCTTTGCTTCTCAGAAATGCCCTTCCCTTCCTTTTATCTTGCAGCCCTGATCCCAGACCACTGTGGGTGGATGACCAATCTGTATGTGCTGTTAGCGAAGACACAGCACTCGCTATATTCAGTGAGGACGATCACTCTGCAGCTTCTCATTCCCTGACATGATGGCTTTGTTGGGAAAATACCAAAGGGATTTTCCTGGCTGTCAACATTTCTTCTTCCATTCTCCATGACCTCAAAGTCATGAGAGGCTGAAGATGATCCAACATCTTCTACCTCAGCTATCTGGGGAAGGTGGGCTGTTTCACCAGGATCTCTTGCTTTTAGATAGAAAGCATCCTGGCAGCGGGGTCCCTCCTCCTCACAGAAGAGATGGTCTCAGGCTCTGCCCCCAGGCAGTCAGCCCTAACTTCTCCCCACCTTCTTCTTTTGGCCTGTGGCCTCGACCTTGTTCTTGGTCTTCCTGCAGCTTCCTTTTGGTTCTGGCTGTTTCTACTTCTGCTACCTTACTCCTAGATGTACCATATTGGAATATTTGGGATCCATGATTTCTCTTTTCCTACTTATTCAGATGGGATTTTTAAAATCCTATCTTTCTCCCTCCTTCTGGTTGCCTCCCTTATCCCAGGAATCACCTTCCCAGTTTGGTGTCACCCTTGTCTTTCCATTCCTTTAAGATAACCTAGTAAACATTCCCATGTTAAGTAATACCAGTGTCCTCATATTAAATGTAAAGAATTATAGGCCCTGCTTTCAACAAGCCTATATTCCAATACAGGGAGTAAGAATGAAAAGAGGGAAAAGATATGAAAGCACCCTGAAACTATTAAGGGGGTATATTGGGTTAACCAGTGTTACCTCTAAATTTACATCTACCTGGAACTTGGAATGTGACCTTATTGGAAATAGGGTCTTTGCAGGTATGATTAGTTAATTAAAGATGAGGTCATACTAGATGAAGGTGCATCCTAAAGCCAGTGACTGCTGACCTTATCAGAAGGCCACGTGAAGACAGAATGTGTGTGCTGATAGAGACTGAGTGCAGTGATGGGCCTACAAGCCAAGGAGTGCCAGGAGCCACCAGAATGGTGAGAGAATAAGTTTCTGTTGTGTTGAGCCACCTGCTTTGTGCTAGTCTGTTGCGGGGTGGGGGGTGTAGCATGGCAGATGTTAAGGATTGAAATCACTAGAAAAAAGATAAGGTAAAGATCAAGTATGTACATTTAGCTTGATGTGGCTGGGGGTGAGGTAAATTAGGAAGAGGACATAAAGAAAGCTCCATTATTCCTGTTTAACAAATACAATCTCACAGATTATTAGGTTCTATACATTGTTCTAAGTCTTTTATAAAAAGTAACTCATTTAATGCTCATAGTAACCCTAAAAGGCAGAGAGAAACTGTGCTTCCTAGTTTATGGCTGAGGAAATTGGGACAAAGGGAGGTTCAGTGACTCGTCACACAGCTGGAAGGTGGAAAAGCCAAGGTTCCAACCTAAGCAGTTTTCCCTAAAGTCTGAATTCCTAAGCATTCATATTACATGGTGTGGCCCCATGTATTTAAACTTAGGATTTTTTTGAGACAGTCTCACTTTGTCACCCTCTGTAGAGTGCTATGGCATCATAGCTCATAGCAACTTCAAATTCTTGGGCTCAAGTGATCCTCTTGCCTCATCTTCCCTTATAGCTGGGACTACAGGCATCACAACTCCTGGCTAATGTTAGAGATAGAATCTTTTTTTTTGCTCAGGCTAGTCTCAAACTCCTGAGTTCAAGCAATCCACCCACCTCGGCCACCCAGAGTGCTAGGATTACAGGCGTGAACCACCACACTTGGCTGTATTTAAACATTTAAAAATCATAATCCCTATTTTTCTCTCTTAATAGATGGAAGCAAAACTTCAGACCTTCCCACATCCTTTTCACATGCCTAGGCCTCTGAGGGTCCCACAGATCAATTACTGTGGAAAAAGGCTCTGGCCTGGCCTGGCATTTGGTGACCCACCCACAGGACAGACCAGGCATTGTTTCAGCAGAAATACCGTTCTGGTAGATTTCCTGGTTGGTAATCTAGGCTGGGTAAACTTTCCTGCCCTCATAATGGGCCTGGCAAAGGGCACCCACTGTATCTGGCACAGAAAGTGCATGTAGATGAGGCACGAAGGCCCAGCCTTCCCCCTTGTAACCGCTGCTGGCACAATTCACAAGGAGCCAGTGTGGTTTCTGGCTGGAGTGGCAGCTGGTCATCAGCCATCTTATCAGAATATAAAGAATGAAAAGGCCAACTTGTGGACGGTTTGACAGGGAAATGCCATCAAAAGCAGCACTCAGAAAGTCAAATTGTTTTCTTAAAGAATTGGTACATATTTTGGTCTATAGCTCCAAGATCCTGGCCTCCATCTTTACTACACAAAACAAGCCCAATGATTTCAGGCCTGTGAAAACATTTTTCACTTTGATTCTCCAGCACTTAATTCCACTTATTATCCCTGTTAAACTTTGACTGAGTTCAAAGAAAGTCCTGCTTGCTAACCGCTTTGCCCAATTTGGAAGCTAAGGAGGGAAGTTTTCCATTATCATAGAGATCAGAATTTTGCCTGCCTTGGAACGTGGTTTTCTGGAGAATTATCTTGCCCTCCAAGGATCTAGGGATGGCCACTCTATACTCTTTAGACTTATCAGCTTCTACTTGAATTTTTCTTGTATAATTTATGTCCTGCCTACTTCCAAAAATGATTAGAGGTAGCCTCACAAGCTGTTTGCTTCTCATGGCTGTGTTAGTTGGCCTAATTTAGTCCTTCTCTCAAGTGTGGGCCAGGGGTTCTGGTTCTTATGAGACTGTCCTGTCTTGATGGGAAAAAAAAAATACATTGTTCTTATGACTTCCCCTAAAGAACCTAGCAAAATATTCTGCACAGACAGGATGCTGAAAAATGTCTGGGGGGTAGGACAGTAGATCAGGATTAGGAAGTCTGGATGACAGATTTCCCAGCTGCCATCTGTGAAATGAGGAAAGATCCCTAGCCTACCTTTCAGGGCTACTATAATAATAATTATAGGAAAGAAGGTGAGCAACAGTGCTTTGTATAAAACTGTAACTTGCTATGTAAAAGTCTAGGATGTTAGGAAAATAAGTATGTCTGCTAATCACAGAGGAAGCAATTTCCACCTCTAGGATTGTTCCTGCTTTTACAGTTCTGTTTTCCCACGAAGCAAAGTTATTTACTTTCTTAGAAATTTTTCTTAAAAAGGTAAGGCTCAGAATGTTTATAGAAGCCTTACTCATAATCATCAAGAACTGGGAACAACCCAAATGTTATTCAGCTCTTCAGCTGTAGAGGAATAAAATTGTGGTACGTCCATGCGCAGAATTCTGTTCAGCATTGAAAATAAAGGAACTATTGATGAACACAACAATGTGAGTGCATCTCAAAAGCGTCACGCTAGGGGCAAGAAGCCAGACCCAAAAGTCAACGAACTACATAATTCCACTTATAGGACACTCTGGAAAAGATGAAACCACAGGGACCGAAAACACATTAGTGGTCACCAGGGGCTAAGGGGCAAGGAGGGATGGATGACAAAAAGGAAATAAGGGAACTTCTGGAAATGTTCTTTTTCCTGATAGTGGAGGGGATTAGCTGATTGTTATGTGTTTGTCCAATTTTATTAAACTGTTTGAATTTTACTCATACCTTAATAAACTTGAGGTTCAAGAAGTTACTAGAATTTTAAAAAATAAGATAGCCTCTTTCTCCTCAAACTGGATCTATTTCTGGAAGCAGAATCCAGTCTGCATCTAATCCATCAGAAAGAGTCCGATGGGGAGAGCCTTGCCGCTGCTGAGGGACCCTTCACAACCATTTGCATCATTGACCATAGCTGGTTTTGACACTAAGCACTTGGCTCAAAGTCTATGAAATTAGCAGGCTCTAGTTACTTGTGCATCTCAACCATCACAACTTTATTGACGAGAATGGCTACCAGCTGTCACCCTTGCCTCTGCCTCTGTATTTGGTGATTCAGACTTCATGGCCACAGCAAATCAAACTGGGATCCTGCTATGGCTCATCGTGTTGGGGTTTGAACTCCTGGCCAAATGGCTGTCTCTCAGCTGTTACGCTGCCAATCACCCGTCACTGCAGGTTAAACATGATAGGCACACCAAGATCTTCCAACTATTCAGACATCTAAAAGGCCACTTGCTTTCCACACCAGCAGACAACAAATCTGGGTGATATTTAGCTCCTGGATTTTAGAATTTCTGGCTTCATGGAAAGGGGAGGGGACTGCCAAGGGGGAGAATTACTATCTTTCAGTAAACATTTCAAAAGGGCCTCAAACCAGTGAGGTAAAAATGGTGTCAGTAACACATCACCTAAGTCTTAATAATTTTGAAGTCCCTGAAAAATTTATCTACATAAATGAATCGAGCTTTCAGCATGACGGAGCATAGTTCTTTCCAAAAACGGAAACAAAACCCAAACCATTTGAAATCTTTCACATGGTATTGTATTAATTTTTCCCTGTCAAACATGACATAAGTTAAGGTTTGGAAAATTCCCTGTTT